GGGCTGAAGGCCAGGAGCTCACTCTGACCCTGGATTCGAACTGCCAACCTTATACTAACATTATAATAAAAGCTGTGGATAATCAAATCTGCAAACCTACAAATGTGGAAGCTCGACTCTACTGTACTGAATACCAAATTGTGAAGCATTATGATCCTAGTTTCATAAACAAATTGGAATAATGTTATTTTTAGATGAGACTGCTGGGCTCAAGGCAGACTTGCTCAGACAAGTTTTACAACATGCTCTTCCAGCTGTCAAAATGGGAAAATGCACTCGTCTCTTCCAAAAAATGGTTTTGTCTGTTGGGGCTTATATAAATCTGTGACCCTGGAATGCCCAATTGATTTTTGCAATCCCTTTTTTGGTCTTCTCTCATCTACTTCATTGCAACTGTTATTTTAAACGCTGCTAACAGTAAGCATTGGGACTTTCCATGGATGTGGAATGACGGGGCTCCACAGCTGCCAGAGATTATGTTTCTAAAGGGGAGGGTGATGCTCCAGATTGAAAGAGTTGCAAAACAAAACTCTTCATTGCACTTAAGTGCTGCAGCGTTTGATAGCAGCCACATTTTTCAATCCTCCAGTCAATCAAAGCTGCCTTTTCTTTATTGTTTCCATACCTTGCTGCACCATTGTAGCAGTTAGGATGTTGCCATAGGAATTAATGGGGAATATATTACTATAACAGTATAGTATAATAGTTCTTTAGTCGCCCATTCTACATCTTATTGCCTTCAAACGTCAACCTGTTTTTTTCTGGCCATCTATATTCTGATCTATATTTAATGGGTAACTATGAACTAAGTGTATCTAACTGCAGACTTCTTACTTTAGGACATATTTTTTGTCTGTGTTACATATTACAACAGATTTTTTTTGTCATGTCAGGAGTGACTTGAGAAACTGCAAGTCGCTTCTGGTGTGAGAGAATTGGCTGTCTGCAAGGACATTGCCCAGGGGACGCCCGGATTATTTGATGTTTTTATCATCCTTGTGGGAGGCTTTTCTCATGTCCCCGCATGAGGAGCTGGAGCTGATAGAGGGAGCTCATCCGCCTCTCCCTGGATTCGAACCTGCGACCTGTCGGTCTTCAGTCCTGCCGGCACAGGAGTTTAACCCACTGCGCCACCGGGGGCTCCTATTACAACAGATGTATCTATCTTAATTGCTATGGAATGGTGACATATATAATATTGTGGTTTGGTCATGTATCAAATATTCTCTGATGCTCAAAAGGGTGCATCACAATTCCAGTATTCCATTGGATAGAGCCATGATAGCTTTAGTGCAGGCATGGGCAAACTTTGGCCCTCCAGGTGTTTTGGACTTCCAATTCCCACAATTCCTAATAGTCTACTGGCTATTAAGAATTGTGTGAATTGAAGTCCAAAACACCTGGAGAGCCAAAGTTTGCCCATGTCCGTTTTAGTGGTTTTGGTTCCATTATAGCTGGCTGTTAGTTCACTTGGCAACCTTATAGACAAGAGATATCTAAGCTTGGCAATAGAATGCATATATTTCAGTATATAGTCCCAATAGCACATAGATATATAGGCAGTCCCCAAGTTACAAACATCCAACTTAAAAACAAATCGTAGTTAAGAATGGGGGTGAAACAACAGGAGAAATCTATCCCTTGAAAAGGAAATTCACTTCTGAGAGTTCACATCATGGGAAAAAGAGGTCTCCACTGAAGCTTTATCCCCAATCCTTGTTTTCACAACAAGTCAATTTTTTCAAAATCCAGTTATCACAAAGACGGAAAGGGAGCTGAAATCTTCTGAACAGGGGCACAGAGAGCAAAACAAGTACCACAATGATGTGTGTTGTTTATTTATTCAGTCACTTCCAACTCCTTGTGACCTCAGGGACCAGAGTTCCCTGTTGGCCGTCGCCATCCCCAGTTCTTTCAAAGTCAAGCCAGTCACTTCAAGGACCACCTTGCCCTCGGTTGGCCCCTCTTCCTTTTTCCTTCCATTTCCCCCAGCATCATTATCTTCTCCAAACTTTCCTGTCTTCTCATTATGTGGCCAAAGTACTTCATCTTTGCCTCTAATATCCTTCCCTCCAATGAGCAGCCGGGCATTATTTCCTGGAGTATGGGCTAGTTTGATCTTCTCACAGTCCAAGGTACCCTCAGAATTTTCCTCCAACACCACAGTTCAAAAGCATCTATCCTCCTTCACTCAGCCTTCCTTATGGTCCAGCTCTTGCATCCGTAGATTACTACGGGGAATACCATTTTTTTAACTATGTGGATCTTTGTGGCCAGTGTGATGTCTCTACTCTTCACTATTTGATCAAGATTGGTCATTGTTCTCCTTCCAATAAGGAAATGTCTTCTGATTTCCTGGCTACAGTCTGCATCTCCAGTCAGCTTTGCACCTAGAAATACAAAGTCTGTCACTGCCTCCACATTTTCTCCCTCTATTTGCCAGTTTTCAGTCAGTCTGGTTGTCATCATCTTGGTTTTTTATGTTTAATTGCAACCCAGCATTTGCCCTTTCTTCTTTCACCTTGGTTAGATGGCTCCTTTGCTCCTCCTCACTTTTTGCCATCAAAGTGGTATCATCTACATATCTAGGGTTATTAATGTTTCTTCAAGCAATTTTAACTCCAGCCTTTGATTTGTCAAGTCCCACATGTCACATGATGTGTTCTGCATACACGTTGAATAGGTTGGGTGAGAGTATACAGCCCTGCCATACTCCTTTCCCAATCTTGAACCAGTCGGTTGTACCGTGGTCTGTTCTTACTGTTGCTACTTGGTCGATACACAGATTCCTCAGGAGACAGACAAAGTGGCTTGGTATCCCCATACCACCAAGAACGTGCCACAATTTATTATGATCAACACAGTCAAAGGCTTTAGAAATACTGGGTTGTTATAGGTTTTTCCAGGCTATATGGCCATGTTTTTCTGAAATTCCCTGCCTTTCTCCATTATCCAGCGGATATTGGCAATTTGGTCTCTCATTCCTCTGCCTTTTCTAAACCCAGCTTGTACATCTGGCAACTCTCTCTCCATGTATTGCTGGAGTCTTTCTTGCAGGATCTTGAGCATTACCTTACTGGCATGTGAAATAAGTGCCACTGTACGAAAGTTTGAGCAGTCTTTAGCGTTTCCCTTGTTTGTTTTCTTTTTCTTTGGGATGTACTTTGTTGCCGCCTCCTGAACAATGTTGCAGACTTTTGTCCATAGTTCTTCTGGCACTCTATTTATTAAATCTAGTCCCTTAAATCTATTCTTCACCTCCACTGCATATTCACAAGGAATATTGGTGAGATTATATCTAGCTGGTCTCTGTGTTAACCTTTCATATATATTTCTTATGCTGAAGCCTTGGCTAACAGCAGACCTTTTGTAGTAGATCTTTGGAAAGCCCCTTTTCTCTGTCCCTCTCTCCGCAGACATTTAGAAAGAAAAGAACGATTGGGGTTTGTGCCAATTTATCTAGATCTAGTTTTTATTCCACTGTAACTCTTAATGAACGAGACACTGTTTTCATAAGCGAGTCCTGTGACCATTTTGGGTAGAGCATGACAAGCGCCTTTCTAATGAATGACAGCCATGACTCACACTAAATTTCTTTATCTACGTTGTCAACAAAACTATTACAGTCTGACATCATGTACACATGGAAGTTACTATTCACAAGGTGCTGAATGGTATTGTGTTTTGCAGTTTATATTACCCTCTTATCCATGGGTAATACATTGCTGAGCTTGCCATGGAAAAAGGAAATCTTGGATAAGAGTGAAACCCTATTTAACTGTCATGGTTCAATACTATGGAGTCCTGGAAGTTGTAGTTTAGTGAGGCACCAGCACTCTTTGGCAGAGAAGGCAAACAACCATGTAAAAGTGGCCCATGGCAGCTAAAGTAGAGTCAAACTAATTCTACAGTGGAGATGCTCCCTCAAAAGGTATCTTGTATATAGATAAGTTTGGATTGATGTTGGCACAAAAAATTTTCTAAAATCAGGACAGTAAAAAAAGAACAATTCTAAAAAACTGGAGAATTCCAGACAGGAATCCATCAGGGCCAGCTAGCACCTCTCAATAAAGGATTCCCCCAGGCAGGAAGCAGCCAGGCTTTGAAGCCCTAAGGCTATTCAATGCTAATTAAGCTGGCCAATCGCAACATTTGCACTTGCCTCAAACAGACAAGAGTTCTTTCTCCTACCCTGAACCTTCCACAAATATATAAACCAACACTTTCCTAGTTTCCAACAGACCTCACAACCTCTGAGGGTGCCTACCATAGATGTGGGTGAAATGTCAGGAGAAAATGCTTCTGGAACATGGCCATACAGCCCGAAAACTCACAGCAACCCAATGATAGTTGCTGTAGAATTGAGGAATACTATGCAGGAAGCAACAGCAACTTCTAGTGAAAATATGAGAAACTATGGCATCAAGTTAATTATGGGTTGTAGTATGTTTCACACCTGGAGTAATTAGTCTTAACTATGATTAACAGTACTAAACTCTCTCCACAGAATAAAACAGTATGTTAGGAAGATGGAAAATCTTCCTGGTTTACTTTCAGGTTATACTTATGAGAGCATTTCACACTACACTTTTATAGCAGTATGATTCCACTTTAACTGTTGCTTCTTGTGGAATCCTGGAGTCTGTAGTTTGGGGAGGTGCTAGAACCCTCTGGCCCACAATTCTAAATGCTGCTTCCAGAACTGCAAATCCCAGGAAGCCATAGAACTGAACTATAGCAGTTAAAGTGGAATCATAGGGCTATAACTGTGTAATATAAAAGGGCCCATCATGGAGTATTAAAAAGTGCAGATGTACATGTGAAGTGAACTCCAATGGACCTGGAGCACGAAAAATGCAGCCCAGGAAAAACATTTCTACCTGACACTGATTCATATAGTCACTGGTTGTTAAGTCACCCATCATTGCATTATGTCCGATATGTATTATACAGATGGTCTCTTTTCTTTTTTGGCAATGCATTCTTGTTTTATTTCCTAGGTACACAGATGAGCTGCTTTTCTCCGAGTTCGTTTTCTTGGCGCCAAGCTGCTTATGTGGACTCTTTCTGCTGGGCAGCCGTACAGGAAAGACAGCTTTCCCAAAGCGACTCAGGGCACCTTCCACTCTGGCTTCACAAAGTTTGTATAATTAGATTCTTGTCCTTCTTACTTCTTTTTTTTTACAATTACTTTTCTCCACTTAGGTGTTGTAGTTTGGTTGTAGATTGATCTAGAGGCGTAAAATACAGGAAACTCGCAGTGGATCATATTGGGCATGGTGAACAAGTGGTCTGTCCTAATGTAAGCTAAGAAGGTTCCTGTATTGCTAAACCTCACCCTTATACAGAATTTGCTTGTCAGAAGCACTTAAAGGAAGTAGGAAAGTAAGACCCATAAAATACATAATTGCTATAATGAGGATTGGCACTTCACGGACCCCCTGGTTGTGAAGCAGGTTAAACTGCTGAACTGTTGAACTTGCTTACCAAAAGGTTGACAGTTCAAATCCAGGGAGCAGGGGGAGCTCCTGCTGTTAGGCCCAGCAGCTTCTGCCAAACTTGCATTTTGAAAACATGCAAATGTGAGTAGATCAATAGGTACTGCTTTGGCAGGAAGGTAACAGTGCTCCATGTAGTCATCCCGGCCACATGACCTTGGAGGTGTCTGTGGACAACGCCGGCTCTTCAGCTTTGGCTTATATGTATTTATTCTGTCTGTATTTTAACTTATTATGTTTTTAAGATGCATTTAGTTGTATTTGTGCATTGAATCTCTGCTGCTAGCCGGTCTGAGTCCTTCCATGGAGGTAGAGAAGATCGGGATATAAAAGTTTTAAATAATAAATAAATAATAAATAAATAAATGGAGATGAACACCACCCCCTGGAGCTGGACACAACTAGAATTAATGTCAGGGGAAAGTTTTACTTTTACCTTATCATGAGGAACCAGTTAACTTACAATGTATAGGAGGGGGAGGAAATATTGTGAGTAACTGGCACTGTTCCAACCAGACTTGTCCGACTCCATTTCTAAGCCAAAGAGCCAGCATTGTCCATTGACGCCTCCTAGGTCATGTGGCCAGAATAACTGCATGGAGTGTCGTTAGCTTCCCACTAATGATCTATTTACATTTGCATGTTTTCGAACTGCTAGGTAGGCAGAAGCTGGGGCTAACATCGAAAGCTCATCCTGCTCCCAGATTTGAACCGCTGACCTTTCGGTCAGCAAGTTCAGCAGCTTAGCAGTTTAATCCGCTACATCACCGGGGGTTCCGTTTCACTTAAACATGCTCCAAAAATATATATCCTCTGGTATTGTTTGTGGGCTTCTCTAAGTCCTCCAGTGGTATTCTATATTATACTTCGAGGCCAAATATAGTCAAAATGCAGGGTTTGCTATTATCCATGGTTTCAGGTGTTTATGAGGGATATTGGATTCTATCTCCTGTGGCTAAAGAAGGTATACAATACTGTTTTTACCATCATAATTCCCATTCAACAGATTTTATAAGGCATCAATTGCCTGGAGAGAAAAATGTCTAATTTGCTGGCAATCGGAGCAAGGAAAGTAGGCAACATAGAATACTGGCCCACATCAGCTTTGCTTCAACATAGTGAAGCAGAAAATCCTAATGTAGAAAAAGAAATACAGATTTTTTTAAAGGAAATAGATATAAAATTTATACAAGTGGGGTTTAAGATCTAAAACATCTCATATCCAGTCCTAGAAAAATATTGTGAGTTTATATAGGGCTCCTTCTCGGTCTGCTGTTTTAGTTTTCAAACATGGCATGTGCAATTCGAGACTGCTTTCATTTCCTGGACCCTGCAGAGATTGCTCAGCTCATTTCCCAGATGCAGGCTCATTTATCGGAGGAATTCAGAATCTGTGGATGAGTCTGCCAAATTACTTGAGGCTGGCCTTTCCTCCTCTGTGGTGCTTTCCAATATTGCTGCAATGCTCTCCGTCTAATGTTTCACTTCCCAAGCATAGCAGGGAACTTTCAATCATCAATCACAGCTGATGATTGAATTGGCACTTCACATTTGTGCTTGGTTTTACAGTCTTCTCCTTTATAGCAGTATCATTAACATCCCAAAGTAGTGGAAATGTCATGTAAACCCTACTGAAATGGTCAAGGAATGGGACACTTACACTTTTTATACTCTGCCTGAATATCAAGCAAACAATGTCATATGAAAGCTGACTGGCACACCCTGGGGATCACAACCAGATACAGTGAAGACATCCGCCCTTGCGCTTTGCTACTCTGCTGCTGAGTTCACATGCCCAGTGTGGAACACATCTCACCACACTAAAACAGTGGATGTGGCTCTTAATGAAACATGCCACATTATCACAGGATGTCTATACCCTACACTGCTGGAGAAATTACACTATCTAGCCTTTATTGCACCATCTGACATCCGCCGGGAAGTAGCAACCAATAGTGAAAGGACCAAGGCAGAGACACCTCCAGCTCATCCCCTGTTTGGGTATCAGCCAGTCAACGACTTAAATCAAGAAATAGTTTTCTAAGATCTACAGAGACACTCGCGGGAACACCTCAGCAAGCGAGAGTCCAAAAGTGGCAGGCTCAAACCCAGAACCTCAATCAATGGCTGATACCAAATGAGAGACCCTCCTGGGCACACAGAAAACTGGGCAACTTGGAAGGCGCTGAACAGACTGCGCTCTGGCACCACGAGATTCAGAGCCAACCTTAAGAAATGGGCCACAAATGTCCATGACATGCGACTGTGGAGAAGAGCAAACCACTGACCACCTACTGCATGCAAACATCCTTGCCCCATGCACAATGGAGGACCTTCTTATAGCAACATCAGAGGCACTCCAAGTGGCCAGCTACTGGTCAAAGGACATTTAATAGAATGCCAAGTTTGCAAACTTTGTGTTGTTTTTAAATACAATATAACTGTTTGATTCACTCCTGATACAGTAAATAAATAACTTTGAGGTTCTTGTTCCTACAGTTTAGTGCAGCTTTTCTCAACATTGGGGGGGGGGGGGGTTCCTTTATGGTGCCGTAAAATACCTCCCCCTTTCAGGTCTTAGGGAACTCCTACAGAAAATTATTTAAATCTACAGATCAGATACATCAATCACAAGCTTTTGAACAGTCCCTAAGTTCTAGGGAACATTGATTGGCTTTTCCTTGGACCTGATGTTATCCTGTAGCATTTTCTGTCAGGAGAAAAACAAAAGGAATGAAGTTTCTCTGATCCCTTCATCTCCATCTCAAGACGCTTAATTTCTGCTCTGAAGGGTGCTTGTCAAAATAGAGGAGCAAGCTTTTAAAAGGTTTTCCTTATTCTTATGTATTAAATATTCATATATTATTAAATTGTTCTATGGTAGATTTTAGCAGAACATGCAGGGCATATATGGGCTTTAGATACATGGGCTTTAGCACAGCTGGTTAATCACCAGCAGCAATAGATTTTACCAATCGAAAGGTTGGTAGTTTGAAGCTCAGGTTGGGGTGAGCACCGAACTTCAGCCCAGCTTACTGTCCACCTAATAATAATAATAATAATACTTTATTTATACCCTGCCACCATCTCCCCAAGGGACTCGGAGCAGCTTACATGAGGCCAAGCCCAACAACACATCAATAAAACAAAAAGCAATAAGCAAAAAACAATACAATTAATATAACTCACATATAAACAATAACATGCAAGGATTTTTTTTAAAAAAAACCTATGGCTGGGCCAAAGATAATAGTTTAAAATTAAAAAAATAAACGCTGGGCATGAACAGAGGTAGGATGTATTTAGTAGGAGGGCTTTAAAAGAAATGAAGGGAGAGCAACCCAATGAGTAATTAAAGTGCTTCTGAGGACATTTTACTGGGAATTATTTCCACCTAAGCAGTTCGAAAACATCTGTGACTGCATAAGCGGGGAGGTATTTTACGGCACCATAAAGGAAATACAATAAAAATGCCGGTGATCAAAGGAAGGAGGAAGTCTGTGATCAAGGCTCTTTGTCATAGAGGATGGAGCAACAGCACCCCCTGTGGCCAGAATAGAGCACAACCTCCAAGATGACGAAGTTGGGAAATATGTGAACATATACCTCTATCTGTTGTCTGTCCTGTCTGTTTAACGGCATTGAATGTTTGCCATGTATGTGTTCTATGATCTGCCCCGAGTCCCCTTTGGGGGAGAAGGGCAGAATATAAATATTGTAAATAAATAAATAAATAAATTTGATTTACTATCATTGCTTTGGCTCCATTCTATGAAATCCAGGAATTAGTAATTTAATAAAGTAGTTAGAATATTCTACTAGATAACACAAGTGTACTTGCCTGAATTGCAGCACTAGACAGTTGTAAAATCTTTACCAAGCTATATATCCTTAAATTCCATAGAACAGAGTCAGGGTAGTTAAACTTGTAATGAAATTGGTCCAATTGCATAGCAGAGATGTACCCTTTGCCTTCAGTTTCCCCAGATCATATTATCACAGATAATACAATCAGGATTTCTTGTTAATGTATGTGGTGGCATTAGAACAGTGAAAGTGCAATACAAGTGTTGGATTTTAAGTATTAAACCTGAATTGTAAAATGAATAGAACGGCAAATTCTAGGCCAGAGCCAGGGCACCTGTGACCCACCAGATAACCATTGGAGAGCAACGTGCATCATCCCATTGAGTGCTGGGTCTATGTTTGGTGTATGTTACAGTCCAAAATCAATTGCTCCCTCAGCCTGCTTAAATCACAATTTCAGACTTACCCTTAATAGAACAATCAGAATTTAATCCCATTGTAAGTGTGCAAAGGTGTGCAACTTATGCTTGTTTTTTATTTTTCCAGCCTGCTTTGCAAAAATGAATCTTATGTCAGTTGCTGCATGCATTTGTTTTTGTAAAATTTCATAACAGTTCTGTCATAGATGGATCTGTTGTAACCTAACTCCATATCTTGATGGTTTTCTTTCAGTTTTTCCCCTACATCCTTCTGCTGCTCGCAATCTTGCTGTACCTGCCATATCTCTTCTGGCGCTTCACCGCAGCACCCCACCTCTTTTCAGACCTGAAATTTATTATGGAAGAGCTTGACAAGGCCTACAACAGAGCAATCAAAGCTGCAAACAGCTGCTGTAATGGTGATGCAAAGGATGCTTCTTGCCCCATGCCAACCCCAACGGAGAATGTTGCTCAGAGGTAACAGTATAAGCCTTGCTGGTTCTCTCCCCACCCCAGGTTATAGATTTGTTTTTTAACACATCATTGAAAACTCAATCTCCAGATTACATAATAATGGAAGGATGCTTTACAAACTATTTTTTGCTAGTGTTTAACTAAGAAAAAGCCCTGTAATGTGGTGAATAGCAAAGTTTGGAAGAGGAGAGAAGTTGGATTACAGTTCTGGAAGATTTGGATAGTATAAAAAGAATTATTCCAAGCTCAGAGAGAAAGATATACATTTGAGATTTATATCCAAGCTCGGAGGGAAAGATATAAATTTCAGTCCACACATTGTGCCATCAGATTGGAGGATCGAGTGAGGTAAAGCAAGCCTCAGTTCATTAATGAAATCTCATTCCTGCATGCACGTCCATATTTCAGTTTTCAGCACTTAATTGCTATACATCTGGACACCAAAGTCCCAATGATCCTTGCTGATCTGAACAGTGCCAGAGAGTTTCTACTGGCTCAAAGCAATAAATGCACACATGTATCCTTTTTAAAAAGACTCTAGTTTCCTCCTAAAGTTGTTTTTGGTGTAAGCAGAAGCTGAAAAGCCTGATTTGCATTCATAGGTGGACATAAAGTGGAGCTTTGTTTGGATAGTCTTTCTAGCTACTGACAGCTATATGGCTATCAGTCCTACCCAATAGTTATTCAAGTCCCTTCCACACAATCATATAACCCAGAATATCAAGGCAGAAAATCCCACAATATCTGCTTTGAACTAGGTTATCTGAGTCCACTCTGCCATATATTCCAGTTCAAAGCAGATAATGTGAGATTTTCTTCAGCTGTGTGGAAGGCATCTCAGTGGCATAGATTCAAATGTCATTTTTAAAGAAGAGGTACATTGAATTCTAATAAGAGCTTCATACTCTGCATATTTTGTGGACCCCTACAATGCTCATGTGGAACCCGGTTTGGGGTCCGCTGGTGCCAGAGATTGACCAAGAAGTGTCCCAACTGTATTCCTATCTCTGGATACATAATGACAGAAACTTTCTTTGGGATCTTCTTGAGGTTCTCCAGAGGTCCCAGAGAATGACTATTGGAGAGACCTAGGTGGAATATGAGACTTACAGGCGAAGAAATGGAGCTAAAATCCACCTGGTCAAACTTTTGCTCCATCTCTTTATGCAGGATCTTTGCTTTTGCTAGAGAACAGTTCTTACAAAATTTAGCTTAAAAGTATGACATCATTGCTTTGGAAATTTGAGTAAGAACCTGTTTCCTAAGTATGTTTTTATAATTACTTAGAGAAATGAAATCCTCATGTAATAGCTTTGGATGTTTGCTTTTTCCAAATCCAGCTTCTGGGAGATTTCTGACAGCTGCTTTAAGTATCCCATTGTGGAACAATACCTGAAGACAAAGAGGGGCACCAAGACCTTAATCATCAAGTATATATTTTGTCGCTTGCTGACGCTGGCAATTATTCTCCTGGCTTGCACCTATCTGGGCTATTATATCAGTCTTTCCTCAGTGACTGATGAATTCATCTGCAACATCAAACGTGGGATCTTGAAGAACGATACAACTGTTCCAGAAAAGTTTCAATGCAAAATGGTTGCTGTCGGCGTCTTCCAGGTGCTCAGCTACATCAACTTCTTTGTCTACATCCTCCTCTTGCCCCTGGTGATCTATGCACTGTTGGTGCCATTGAGGCAAAGTACAGACATCCTCCAAGTATATGAGCTTCTGCCAACATTTGACGTTCTCAAATTCAAAACAAAGAGCTACAACGACTTAAGCCTCTACCTTCTCTTCCTGGAGGAGAATGTCAGCGAGTTGAAATCTTACAAGTGCCTCAAGGTTCTGGAGAACCTGAAAGGCAATGGGGAAAGGTTTGATGCCATGCAACTCCTGGTGAACCTTGGCTCAATTAAAACAGACACCGTAGATCGCAAGATGCCCTCTGCCAAAAGCACTGATGGAAAGAAAGTTGAAGAAGAAACAGAAAAGAATGCAACACAATTACAAGGTAAGGCTGCATCTATTTGACAGTAGACCTTCCACTTCTGTGACGGTTAGGGACACAGGGCCCTATAAAAGCAGAAAACCCACAAAATAAGAAACACTTTTAAAAAGCCAGAGAAAACACTTCTTTAAGAATCTGCAGGTTCTACAGCATGATCTATATAAATAAAAATGTAATGTTTGTTTGTGGGATTAACAGAACTCAAAACCCACTGGACTAATTGACACCAAATTTGGACACAAGACACCTAACAAGCCAATGTATGACCTTCACTCAAAAAAATTGATTTTGTCATTTGGGAGTTGTAGTTGCTGGGATTTATAGTTCACCTGCAACTGAAGAACATTCTGAACCCCACCAATGATGGAATTGAACCAAACTTGGCACACAGTTCTCCCATGACCAACAGAAAATACTGGAAGGGTTTGGTGGGCACTGCCCTTTGTTTTTGGAGTTGTAGTTCACCTACATCCAAATATCACTGTGGACTCAAACAATGATGGATCTGGACCAAACTCTACAAGAATACTCAATATGTCCAAATGTGTACACTGGTGGAGTTTGGGGAAAATAGAATCTTGACATTTGGGGGTTGTAGTTGCTGGGATTTATAGTTCACCTACAATCACAGAGCATTCTAAACCCCACCAATGATAGAATTGGGCCAAACCTCCCACACAGAACCCCCATGTGGGCCACAGCAACACGTGGCAGGGGACGGCTAGTCTACAAATGTTTATATTTGTGTTCTCTCTAGAAACCTATAGGCCTTCCCATTTAACCCATAGAGTCATGTTGGGGAACCTGGAGATTCTTAGAGAGAACATATTAATCAGTTCCATGACTAATCACATCTACAAAGGTTAAATCTGCAAATAAGTGTTTAGTTTGCTTAACTTCACAATTAAATAGTTTGCAGAGTATTACCATACTATAGTAATCACAGTAAAAGCAACAACAACAAAAAACCCCACCCAAGCAAGCAAACCAGTAACGAAAAACATTACAGCAGCAACATGCAAAATCAGTACAAACTTCTGCATTTTCCTTAAGGCAGTGTATTGGGAACTGAAGTTCCTGCATGTGAATCAAATTATTTGCATGAATCTGTGCAAATATCAGCAGTAACAGTGCTCCATGCAGTCATGCTGGCCACATGACTTTGGAGGTGTCTATGGACAATGCTGGCTCTCCAGCTTAGAAATGGAGATGAGCACCACCACCCCAGAGTCAGACATAACTAGACTTAAAGTCAAGGGGAAACCTTTACCTTTACCCATGATCTTATGGAAACATTTGGAAGTAGCTTCCACTGTGTTCAATGGAAATGTGCAAAGAATTGCAACCTTGAAGCAATGAATTCAAGCTTGGGTCTCAATCCACTTGTTTAATTCCAACTAGAGTAGACCCATTGAATTATGTGAATTTAATGTGTTTCCTAGAGTTAGGAGTAATAAAAGGATTCATGTCCAAGCCTTTACATGTTTTAAATAACTAAATCTATATATATAAATCTGTTAGGTTGGTTCAACGGGACAGCAAAACTCTAAAAACCCCCAACGAAACTTAACCAAAATTCCCATGCCCATAACACAACCCACAAGGTACAAACATATCTACTCAAAATGAAAAACAACACAACAACACACTCACAAAACGGCAAAACAACAAAACTCACAAACCCCCAACGAAACTTAACCAAAATTCCCATGCCCATAACACAACCCACAAGGTACAAACATATCTACTCAAAATGAAAAACAACACAACAACACACTCACAAAACGGCAAAACAACAAAACTCAGAAACCCCCCAACGAAACTTAACCAAAATTCCCATGCCCATAACACAACCCACAAGGTACAAACATATCTACTCAAAATGAAAAACAACACAACAACACACTCACAAAACGGCAAAACAACAAAACTCAAAACCCCCCCCAACGAAACTTAACCAAAATTCCCATGCCCATAACACAACCCACAAGGTACAAACATATCTACTCAAAATGAAAAACAACACAACAACACACTCACAAAACGGCAAAACAACAAAACTCAAAAAAACCCCAACGAAACTTAACCAAAATTCCCATGCCCATAACACAACCCACAAGGTACAAACATATCTACTCAAAATGAAAAACAACACAACAACACACTCACAAAACGGCAAAACAACAAAACTCAAAAAAACCCCAACGAAACTTAACCAAAATTCCCATGCCCATAACACAACCCACAAGGTACAAACATATCTACTCAAAATGAAAAACAACACAACAACACACTCACAAAATGCCAAAACAACTGAGCATGCCCATTGGCGCCCAGCCGCAAGTTCCCTGGCGCGCACACACAGCCTTCCGGCCAACGTTCCCTCTGCGGAAGCCATGCCCACTCCAAGCCCCGCCGCTTCCCGCACACACACACACCCTGCCGCACACACACACAACCCCACGCTCCATCACTCCCCCCGCCGCCGCACACACACACGCAACCCCACTCCCCCCGCCGCCGCACACACACACGCAACCCCACGCTCCATCACTCCCCCCCGCCGCACACACACACACAACCCCACGCTCCATCACTCCCCCTGCCACCGCACACACACACGCAACCCCACTCCCCCCGTCGCACACACACACGCAACCCCACGCTCCATCACTCCCCCCGCTGCCGCACACACACACACAACCCCACGCTCCATCCCTCCCCCCGCCACCGCACACACACGCAACCCCACTCCCCCTGCCACCCCACACACACACGCAACCCCACACTCCATCACTCCCCCGCTGCACACACACACAACACCCCACGCTCCATCACTCCCCCTGCCCCAATCTTACCTCCTTTTACTTCACGCCACCTCCAAACCCCCCCGCCCCTTCCCGCCCTGTCAAAATCCAGGAAAGACGGAAGGAAGGAAAGAAGGAAGAAAGAGAAAGGGAGGAAAGAAAAAGGGGGAAGGAGGAAAGTAGAGAAAAGAAGGAAGAAGAAAGGAAAGAAAAGAGGAAGGAAAGAAAGAGAGAAGCAGAAGAGAAAAAAAGGGAAGGAAGGAAAGAGGTAGAGAAGGAAGAAAGGAGAAGAGAAAGAAAAAGGAAGAAGGAAGGAAGGAGAGAAGGAAAGAAAAAAGGGAATGAAGGAAGGAAAGAGGGAGTGAAGGAAGGGGGAAAGATGTAGAGAAAGAGGGAGGGAAGGAAAGAAGGAAAGAGAGAAGGAAGAAAAGACCAGAAGAGAAAGAAAAAGGGGGAAGGAAGGAAGGAGAGAAGGAAAGAAAAAAGGGAATGAAGGAAGGAAAGAGGGAGTGAAGGAAGGGGGAAGATGTAGAGAAAGAGGGAGGGAAGGAAAGAAGGAAAGAGAGAAGGAAGAAAAGAGACCAGAAGAGAAAGAAAAAGGGGGAAGGAAGGAAGGAGAGAAGGAAAGAAAAAAGGGAATGAAGGAAGGAAAGAGGGAGTGAAGGAAGGGGGAAGATGTAGAGAAAGAGGGAGGGAAGGAAAGAAGGAAAGAGAGAAGGAAGAAAAGAGACCAGAAGAGAAAGAAAAAGGGGGAAGGAAGGAAAGAGATAGAGAAGGAAGAGGAGAAGGAAAGATGGGAGGGAAGGAAGGAGGGAAAGAAGGAGAGAAAGAGGGAAGGTTGGCCACAGCAACACGTGGCGGGTAAAGGTTGTTATTTCTATTGTTATTATTATGCTATTATTCCTATTAGACCCTGGGGGAATGGGAGAGGTGTCAGGTCCCAGAGGCAATGCATGGCATTATTGTTATTGTTATGATGGTGGTGAAATAAAAGGAAATAAAAAGTGAGAGAAGGAAGCAAACAGGGAGGGAAGAAAGGCAAAGGAAGAAAGGGGGAGGGAATGAAGGAAAGAGAGAAGGATGAAACCAAGTAGTGAAAGAAAGAAAGAAAGAGGTAGAGAAGGAAGAAAGGAGAGAAAGGGGGAGGAAAAGGGGGAAGGAATAGGTAGGTACCTCTCTTTCATAATAGTCCAGATATCTACCTCAACTTTGATAAGTTTTACTATAGGCCACAGCAACGCGTGGCAGGGCACAGCTAGTAATAAATAAATTTGTTCATGGCTCAATTAGATACCATCAAGTTCAATGAGTTTTCCAGATTAGGACTAAAGGCTTGCCTACACTAGCCAAAAACCCCAGACTCACCTCAAAAGGAAGGCTGCAGTTTTCATGATGCACAGCTACTTCCCATGAGTTTGGGAGTTTAAATCAGCTTTGCTTCATTTCGGGTGAAGTTGGAGAATACTCCAGTTTGATGGCAGCATCTCATGGTTTCAGGAGAATCTAGACAGCTGGGTCTGATCTGATTTAGTCTGATCCACTGTCCAGAGAGAACACGGGTGCCAATGCTCTCCCTACGCACATTGGTGCAGAGATCAGAATGGATTGTGGCCATGTCACTGCTGCTCCAAGCTGGACATGAAGCCCCTGGACATCATGGGCGCTTTTGCTGATCTTGGAACAGGGCACTTGCACAACCAACATGAAGGAGTAGGTGATCTCTCCTCCTCCTTGCTTGTAATGTGGGTGCCCCATTCTGACTTAGCAGAGTTGCCTATGTGGCCATGCAAAGTTGCTATGTGTACTTTTACACTGGGTTCACCTGCCTGGGGTAGATGACCCTAAGATTGAATCCTACTCAGCATCTTTTCATTTTGAAATGCGAACCCTGGCATGGAGCATGGTGGGTGCCATGTTGGTCCTATTCAAATGTATCTGGTTTTTCCTCTCTTTTCACATTTATTTGTTTCACATTTACTCCAGTATTAGTATTATGTCCCACTAGGTTGGGAATTCTCATTGGTATATTCTTGTGCTTATCGTTTAGAGAGCTGGAAGCACAAGTCCAAAAAGACAAAATATCTTCGAACACTGTGTTTTAGGTTTGTGAACTGAACTGTGGAGAATTCTTCTCCGTGGAGTAGAGAGATCATCAGACATATTGGTCAGGCCACTGGAAGTCTCATGTTTCAGAGTGATAAGGATACTCATGAGTATATATGCAAAAAAAAAGGTAACAGGATGTTCCATTTTTATCTCCATCTTCAGATGTGAGTGGGACGACAACAGCAGCAGATGGAGGGAAGAAGAGTAAAGACGATGGCAAGCTTCGTCAGAGGCTCCTAGATTCTTCTTGCTGATGGACACCTTTGGAGTTTTATTGATTAGGACAATTCTTCCCACAGAAGCCATAGTGATCCCTTGATGGCTTTCATCTTGCATAAACAAGAACTGGACATAAGTTAATTATTGTTTACAAGCTTTTTATAGACCCGTGTTTACATACCTATCTATCCTTCCAACATTATAGCAGGGGCAAATAAGTACCCAAAATGTGGGGGCAAAATGCCGCTCTCCAACCTCAGAGGACTACTGTCTAATGCACTCTCCACCTCTAAGGGCACAGCACTACCTTTTGCAATTCCTGGGCTTTTTTTACATGTTGTTTTGTTATTGTGTGCCTTCAAGTTGCTTCCAACTTATGGCAAACATCAGGTGAACCTATAATGGGGCTTTCTTGGCAAGAGTTGTTCATAGGAGGGCTGCCTTAATCTTTCTCTGAGGGCCCTTCCACACAGCCATAATACCCAGAATATCAAGGCAGAAAATCTCACAATATCCGCTTTGAAATGGCTTATCTGAGTCCACACTGCCATATATTCCAGTTCAAAGCAGATAATGTGGGATTTTATTCATCTGTGTGGAAGAGGCCAGAGGCTTGGAGAGTGTGACCTATCTAATGAGGTCAGCCGGTGGGTTTCTGTGGGTGAGCAGGGACTCTAGAGTTGCAATCCCAAACTCAAACCACCACAGCATGCTGACTCCCACCCAGATTTACTTGTGTTTACTAAGGTGGTATGTGCTATGCCTTCATGCTCTCTAGAGAGATGGGAGCATTTAGGGATTTAAAAATTCAAAGCAAACATTTCCCTCAAAATTTGGGAGTGAGGGGCAATCAAGGACCTCAAAAATGTTTTTGAGGGTCTAAGAGGGTTGGCTTAAAGCAGTGTTTCCCAAACTTTGGTCCTCCATAGAATCATGGTTGGAAGAGACCTCATGGGCCATCCAGTCCAACCCCTGCCAAGAAGCAGGAAAATCGTATTCAAGGCACCCCCAGCAGATGGCCATCCAGGCTCTGTTTAAAAGCCCCCAAAGAAGGAGCCTCTACCACACTCCAGGGCAGAGAGTTCCACTGCTGAACAGCTCTCACAGTTAGGAAGTTCCTCCTCATGTCCAGGTGGAATCTCTTTTCCTGTAGTTTGAAGCCATTGTTCTAGAAAACAAGCTTGTCTTCTCCTTGCATATTTATACATGGCCCTCGTCATGTCTCCTCTCAGTCTTCTCTTCTTCAGGCTAAACATGCCCAGCTCTTTAAGCTGCTCCTCATAGGGCTTGTTTTATACTATAACTCCCACCATTCCTAACAGCTGGTAAGCTGGCTGGGATTTCTGGGAGTTGAAGTCCCAAACACCTGGAGGACTAAATGTTGGGAAACACTGGTTTAAAGGCATTGTAGTGAGAATATGTTTTGTTTTGGTGTGAGGACTATGGAGAAAAGGCTAAAGTTTTGTGGTAGCCTCTCTCTGCCTGAAGCCTAGGTCTTCTCTTTTGATCTCCTCCATAGCTTTTAGGGAGCTTAAATCTCTCACTTTTTGTTCAAGTCTGGCACACACACAAAAAGAGATTGATGTTACTCAGTGTCTCTGAGTGACATCAATCTCTTATCACCCATGTTCCAGCATTCTTCAAGGCAGGTGGTCCTATACAATCCACAGTTGTGGGGTGAAACGGTGCAGCCGAAGGTATGGTTCTCATGTGTCTGTCCAACTTGATTTCTTTGCATTTAATTGCAAAGCACTTAGAAACCAATTTATCCAACCATTTGAACACTTTGCATGGATTCCTGTTGGTGCATTACATTGATGGATAAACTCTTTTCCAAAACCAGGCAGCAGTGGCAAGGGAAGGCAGGCAAAATGCAAGCAGACGGTTTCTCTAGTATTTTACTTTTTGCATGACCACTGCATTTGTCGCCTTGTTTCTTCCTGCCACACAGCTGTAGCTATGCCAGCATATAGTACCTTTATGAGATTGAAATTATAATATTTTCAATGACTCTGATCCATGCATGCAGAACAAAGTGCTAGAGCAAATTGTTTAGATGGACAGGCCCTCTCACACATTGATAAGCTGTTTTGTAATTGGGTTATTATGAGTTTTCCGGGCTGTATGTTCCAGAAGCATTCTCTCCTGACATTTCACCCACATCTATGGCAGGCCTCCTCAGTGGTCGTGAGGTCTGTTGGAGGTCTGTTTTGTAATTGTTTCACTACATTATGATAATTGCAAAATCAACTTGAAAGCATGTTATCTTTCTATACTTCCTTGTAGAAACATATATGCACCTACTAAAGATATACTTGCTGCATGTTCTAATATATTCTTAGTACCTTACTGATGACATTGAGGTTTGGGGTGCTGTGAACATGGAGTGCTGGTTTCACTGTTAACTATCCTCCAGTTATAGTTGCAGTCTACCTACTTTTGTTAGTAGTTGTATGGTCATGATATTAGTTGATATAACAGATCTGTGGAGTCAGGATTTTTTGTTATTTTCTTTGTGGACAGTTCTACGACATATAAGACTTAGCAGATGATTTATGTATGTCTGAGTTTATTGATTATTTCCTTGAACCAGAACTCAGGAGCCAAGGTACATTCTGTAAATGATGTAGCCATCACTCACAAAGCCATTTTTAAAAAGTTGAAGACAGTGTTAGCAATCTGTGAACATACTGCCAACACAGTAGCTGCTTTTGGGAGCACCTAGTTTGAAGAAATAGTCATTAATCTTTAAGTGTATAGGTACATATAAGAAACTCAACAACGTAGGCACACTGTGAACCGCCCTGAGTCCCCCTCGGGGTTGAGAAGGGCAATATACAAATGCCACAAATAAGTAAACAATATAAGAAGAGTCCAATTGTCTTCTTGTCCTGGCATTTCAAACTTTGCCATAAGAGCAAAGAGGCAAATATTGCAAGGGCCTGAAGAACAAATGCGATTTGGAAATGTCAAAGCTGAGTAGGGTTAGGTTGGAGATTGCAAAAAAAAAAGAGATATGATACCCATGTTCTAATAAAAGACTTACACATTGATGATGGAGCAAGTTTCTAGTAATTTATAGAACTTGAACCAGTAGGTTCACATTAGAAGGAATTTTGATTAAGAGGAACTCGCTTAACAATCAAAGAGAATTCCCCAGGATGTGAGCACCTTGTTTTCATTATAATAGAGGGGGAACCATTTGGCCTTTCAGAGTTGCAGTTGCCAACATCCCCCACAGTATCCCTCTTTTGCTAAGAGTTTGGCTCTCCAAAGTTCCCGATGATTCACTCTTTTGCTAAGAGATTGGCCCCCCAAAGTTCCCGATGATTCACTCTTTTGCTTAAGAGATTGGCTCTCCAAAGTTCCCGTTGATTCACTCTTTTGCTAAGAGATTGGCTCCCCAAAGTTCCCGTTGATTCACTCTTTTGCTAAGAGATTGGCTCTCCAAAGTTCCTGTTGATTCACTCTTTTGCTAAGAGATTGGCTCCCCAAAGTTCCCGTTGATTCACTCTTTTGCTAAGAGATTGGCTCCCCAAAGTTCCCGTTGATTCACTCTTTTGCTAAGAGATTGGCTCTCCAAAGTTCCCGTTGATTCACTCTTTTGCTAAGAGATTGGCTCTCCATAATTCCTGTTGATTGACTCTTTTGCTAAGAGATTGGCTCTCCAAAGTTCCTGTTGATTGACTCTTTTGCTAAGAGATTGGCTCTCCAAAGTTCCTGTTGATTCACTCTTTTGCTACGAGAGGGGCTTCCCAAAGTCCCCGTTGATTCACTCTTTTGCTAAGAGATTGGCTCCCCAAAGTTCCTGTTGATTCCCTCTTTTGCTAAGAAGGCCCCCCCGCAAAGGTTATGGCAATTTCAGTTCAACAACAGACTGGAGGGCCACACGATTGCAACCTCAATTAGAGCTTTTAGAAACAGGCTGCATATTGTAGCACGGGGACACAGTAGAGCAGTGGTTCTCAACCTGTGGGTCCCTAGGTGTTTTGGCCTACAACTCCCAGAAATCCCAGCCAGTTTACCAGCTGTTAGGATTTCTGGGAGTTGAAAGCCAAAACATCTGGGGACCCCAGGTTGAGAACCACTGCAATAGAGGTTTGCCTGCAACAAAAGGAGGTTCAACGAAACCAGAGATGAACAATCCATGGGCCTTGTGGCTCTTGTTGCAGATTACAGGGCCATGGGGAGATCAGCTCCTCCAAACCTTGTCATACAATCCAAATGGCTCAAATATGAGGAAGAATGGCATACTAGCACTGTGGTAGCAATCTTACCAGGTCATTGCTAAGATTTGGGAGCAGATAGGTTTTTTTTATTATCTTAACCTAAAGCAACCTCCAGTTGCAAAATGGCTAGCTATACTTCTATGTCTTGATTTTTACAAGATTCTTGAGATGGAAAGATTCTGTGTTCTCACACTTGATATAGCTTCTACTTTTAAGCTTTGGGAGTTTGGAAAACATCCATGATATAATTAAAATCAACCTTAATCCTACCAGCTGTTGCCTTCAATATTCTATGATGATTTATGTAATTTATGTAAACAGCAAGTAAGTATTTACTGATGAAAGGGATTTTTTAAGGTCCTTGAATATTTTCCTCCTTGTACGATATAAGGAAGGACTGACATTCAGCAGTAGAGCACTTATGTAGGTCCTAGGTTGAAATGACCTGTATCTTCTGTAAAACATCTCAGGTCCTGAAAAACAACGGGTACATGAGATAGAAGAGAGCAACTGCCAATTCAAGTCAGCAAGTGTGAATGAGAAGAAACAATGCTCTGACTCAATACTTGGAAATGCTGAGTGTTGATCCAAACTCGTCTGACTCAGAGTGGGTCTGCTTCACACACTCATCTATAATAATAGAGACACATTCATGTAGCATTTAGAAATATATGGTACCATTGCAAAAGTGAGAAGAGTAAAATTGTGTAAGATGCCGACCACTTGAAGTATTACTGTGATTGTGTTTTAATAAACTGTCTTAATAGTGCAATGTGACAATAGTCGATATTAGCCTGTGAACATGTTATGGTATTAATTCTTTGTAAAAAAAATTTCATGTCAGGAGCGACTTGAGAAACTGCAAGTCGCTTCTGATGTAAGAGAATTGGCCCTGGTAGTGCAATGGGTTAAACCCTTGGCCAGCGGAACTGAAGGCTGACAGATAGGAGGTTCGAATCCGAGGAAAGCACAGATGAGCTCCCTTTGTTGGCTTTAGCTCCCCATGTGGGAACATGAGAAAAGCCTCCCACAAGGATGGTAAAAAACATCAAAACATCTCTGCGTCCCCTGGGCAACATCCTTGCAGATGGCTAATTCTCTCTTTGTAAATGAACTGTATTTAGATTATTTCGGGTTTATTCATTTTGTGACTATTGTTTTTACCTTGGGGGGAAAATGTTGAGAGTTTTGTCAGAACAAAGCAGAAAGCCTTGTTCCGTTTGTCAAGTGCAGGAGTTGTTAAACTGGTGTCTTCTATATGTTTACAACTTCAATCAGATCCAACAATCCTGGGCAGAGATCAGAGTCCGAAATATCTGGAGAGAATTGGCCCATCTAACCTGCTCTGGGAGTATGCTTTATTGCTTTTGGGGCAGGAGATCTTGGATATTTAGTTCCTCGACAAACTCATGCAGTTATGGCACACCTTATGGAGACTGCTGCTTAGTCTTAGAGCACATGCTTTGAATACAGCAGCTGCTGGTTCACTTTATGGCATGACAGGTTGAAAGAATTGAGGAGCAGGTGACGAAAAAGCCCTCTGTCCTGGAGACTCAGAATGTTGCTTTCAATAAAAGTGAACAGCACTGGTCTATCTAATACAAAGGTGACTTTATATGTTTCCCTACATTGTTTTCTATTTTTCTGATAAGCAGCTCCTTATATAACCATGACAGAGCTCTGTGAACTTGACACAGCCTCAGTTCACCCAACATACAGTTCAGGTCTCTTGTTAGTCCACTTACTTTTACTTTCTTACTTAGGCGATCCCTCGTTCTCCGAATATGATGGCCTTCCAAGTGTATTGTCTTGGCGGTGGGTCCGTAGGTGACTATGGAGCCCTATTCTTGATCCGCATGTTCTTCCCCAGTGAGGGAATCAGTTTCCAGGTGGAAGGTGGTCCTGGTCAGGGATGGCTTGACATGCCTTCCTCTTGGCACGTTTCTCTTCCATTCGTGCCTCTTCAAATTCCACAGCACTGCTAGCCACAGCTGACCTCCAGCTAGAGCGCTCAAGGGCCAGGACTTCCCAGTTCTCAGTGTCTATGCCACAGCTTTTAAGGTTGGCTTTAAACCCATCTTTAAATCTCTTTTCCTATCTCCCAGTATTCTTGTTTCCATTCTTGAGCTGGGAGTATAGTAACTGCTTTGGGAAATGGTGATTGGGCATTCGAACAAGGTGGCCAGTCCAGCGGAGTTGATGGTGTAGGAGCATCGCTTCAGTGCTGGTGGTCTTTGCTTCTTCCAGCACACTGACATTTGTGTGACCATCTTCCCAAGAAATTTGTGGGATTTTTTTGGAGGCAACGCTGATGGAATCGTTCCAGGATTTGAGTGTGACATCTGTAGACAGTCCATGTTTCACAGGCATATAACAGGGCTGGGAGGACAAAAGCCCTACGGATGTCCCGATCCTCAAACACACTCTGCTTGAAAATATTTGCATTTGGGCTGCAATCCCCATAATTTCCCTGTCAGCATGGCTGTTAGGGGATTCTTGAATCTGCAGTTTAGGAAAGTAATTTTCCTAAGCTCAGATCCAAGTATGAAACACTCCACTTTGTCAGTGCTTTGTAAGAGAAGGCTAAGTTAGTGAATTATCTGTCTTTTAGTAATGTGTCTTTGTCATGATTAAGTTATGTAGATGTTATGTAGAAGACCTTAATAAACTTTTCATTAAATCTTGGGACTCCCCAGAATACTGTTTACAGTATTATTCCTCCAACCAAAAGAGCTGTTCCCGAACCATTTTGTGGCCAAGATTTTGGGGAGTAAGAGTTAATATAGCAGCTGCCCTTAATATGACATCCTCCAGATATTTTGGACTGTCACTCCCACACTTTTACATACTAGAGTTGCCATGTCTTCTTCATTCTACAGAATGGACCTTATTTAAGGATTGGAAAGATTATCTTACAGCAGTGTTATTCAAAACAGTGGTCCTTAGACCAATGTCAGCTCTTAAGCCAACATTGTCCTTATATCTAATAACCTGAGAAAATTTTATAGGATTGGTAGGTCTTTCTTATTATAAGGGATGTCCCTTATTTGAGGGTTGGAAAGCTCTCCTTTTTATGTAGATTGAAGAGGGTACCAAAAATCCTATACTTGGTGTGGACCCTTCGTAAAGACAGATGCGTGCATCGTGTAATTTAAGAATCTGGACATTATGTTAATTTTACAGAGAAATGTGGTTAAGTGTGGTCTGTTTTCATTAGATATTTAGGTACAATACTGCCTTCTTCATAGCTACTTCCAAATTTTCAACCCTGCCTTTCAACAGTCCTTTATTACTGTATTAACCAGACATGGGCAAACTTTGGCCCTCCAGGTGTTTTGGACTGCAACTCCCACAATAGTCAATACCAGATAGTCAATACCAGGCATGAGCAAACTTCGACCCTCCAGGTGTTTTGGACTTCAACTCCCACAATTCCTAACGGCCAGTAGGCCGTTAGGAATTGTGGGAGTTGAAGTCCAAAACACGTGGAGGGCCAAAGTTTGCTCATGCCTGGTATTGACTATCTGGCAACATTAGATGAGGCTTATGGAAATTGTATCAAGAAGGTAACAGACTGAAAAATAATGCATTCTACAATTCCCCATCTTTTATTTTAAGCTCATAACTTCAGAAACTGATAACATTTAAGAAGTTGTTACTAATTTTATTATATGCATTATCTGTTGAATTGACTTGGCAGTCAATATATGACATCTGTGTGAATAAACTATTTTTTGTGATGACCGTATCTGCTCTATTTGTGGATCTTTGACAAAGTGAGAAACTATTAGCAGAGGAATATCTATCAGCAGTACAACCTGGTGGCGCAGAGGGTTAAACCTCTGAGCTGCTGAACCTGCTGACCAAAAGGTTGGCAGTTCAAATTTGGGGAGCGCGGTGAGCTCCTGCTGTTAGCCACAGCTTCTGTCAACCTGGCAGTTCAAAAACATGCAAATGTGAGTAGATCAATAGGTACCACTTTGGTAGGGAGGTAACGCACTGGACTAGGAAGAATCCAAAATCAGGTAGAGGGAGTCATGACATTAGAATATAAGAACAATTCATTTATAGAGTTGCAAATTGCCAATTTGCAACCTAGACAGAAAACACAACAGGTGCCCACTAATGACTCTCAATGGTAACCATTAGATTATATGCATGAATGAACAAGTTGCCATCTAAAAACATTGGTCAATCTATTTTCCCTGCAGGAGATTTAACAGAATGTTACAGAAAGCGGGGACATCTGGCAAAGGGACCGAGAAGATGAAGGACAACAAACTGGTCTCTACAGAGCAAAACAAAGCAAGTTCTGCCTACTGATTCATTCATGCTGTTCAGTACTAAAAGGGTTTTTTTTAACAAATAAAAGCAATGCAAAAGTTCAGTAAAGGTGGAAAGTAATTCAAAATACGAAGTAGTATAATTTTTTTCATTTACCAGTTTCCACTGAGACATATGAGGTATACAAACTCAGTAGCGCTGTTAAGACACACAAGAAAGTAACCCAAAAAATGGTTAGCAGCTAGAGATCAGAATCTATGCAATAGTACAAGATAAAGATCAATGGATTCATCCATACAGATATCATTCAAAGGTATGCTTTTCAGAAAGGCAGCAGAAGTTGCTGTGGCCCAGGTCAAATGAGCCCGAATTTGATTCGGAGCCTCCTGACCTGCCAGTTCATAACATAGAATAGCTTTGACAATCCACTTTAGAATCATAGAATCAAGGAGTTGGAAGAGACCTCATGGGCTATCCAGTCCAACCCCCTGCCAAGAAGCAGGAATACTGCATTCAATCACCCCTGACAGATGGCATTCCAGCCTCTGTTTAAAAGCTTCCAAAGAAGGAGCCTCCACCACGCTCTGGGGCAGAGAGTTCCACTGCTGAACGGCTCTCACAGTCAGGAAGTTCTTCCTCATGTTCAGATGGAATCTCCTCTCTTGTAGTTTGAAGCCATTATTCCGCGTCCTACAAGTGTTCCGCGTTTGACAAGTGCTGGGCCAAAAGTGGAAGGAGAGATGGCATAGGTACTGGGGAACTGACTCTATAGTGCCTTTGTGCAGGAGAGATGTGATTCCCAGAGGGAGGAGTCCTTCAAACTCTATGTGGTACCCGTGATTGATAGTCCCTAGCACCCAATCGCCCAATGTTATTTGTAACCAGGCATGACCAAAGAAGACCAGTCTGCCCATGAAAAAAAGGAAGAAAGATGGCAGTCCCATCTTCCATTATCCAATTGCTCTCAGGGTCCATAACTTTGGACCCTGAGAGTCCATTCTTCCTCCAAGATGGTCTGCTGATTTTGACCATGGCCTACCCCACTGTTGCGTTGGGAAAGGGCACCTCTGGGTCTGCCCGAAATAACGAAAGGGTGACCTCCCTTTTGACTGTTCAAATGTAGGCATGGACCTGCTTTGATACTGAGTCTGCGGGCCCCATCATGAACAAAAGCCAGAATATGGTATCGGGGCTGCAAGACCATATTTCTTAGCAGCTGTTCCCAGCTCCTCTGTGTTCCTTAACTTCACATCCATAGTCTCATTAAATATAAATCTGCGAACCCCACCTTCTTCAAGATGAACTGAACCACCGCAACTGGGCTCTACAGGCCAATGGATACTCCACCTCCGACATCAGAAGAGCTGCAAGACCAAGAACAAGCCATGAGAATAAAGACGAAGATCCACCCAGAGGAAAAGTGTTCTTGCCATACATCAAGGGAACCACTGACCGCATAGGGAAGCTGATGAGGAAACACAACATACA